TGGGGATTGTAAATATAAAAAATCTGAATCCTGCAATTAGGTTTAGACTTTATCACTTATCCAAGTGTTATTGCAAAAGTTACCAGGTTGCTTTGGCATGGACTGTTCTAAGTTCTCCTGCTGGAGCCCTCACTTTCACACAGCTCTGCCTTCAGTGTGTCTGAAGCAAAAATATGCTTGAAACATCCAATTCACTGAAGAAAGTGTTTCAGATTACAAATATCTTAATTTATAATTCATAACAGAATTTAAAGTATTTTTCTGCTGCTGCCTTCAGAAGAAAGTAAATACACAGAAAACTTTTGATAGGAATGGTAACTACTTGGTAGAGATATGTTACTGATAACAATATTTTGCCTCAAGTATTTTAAATTGTCTACTGGAAGTAGGTTTTTTTTAAAAAAAGTGAAATGGATTTATCTTTGTAAACTTCTCCAGCAACTATTTATTTCGCAACCATGGTGCTGAAATTAAACAGCTAGATAGATACATGTTTATATTCCTGCAACCACAGGACTTTTTTTGTAAAGACTCCATGAATGTGTTGCTAAGAAACAAAGTCCTTCGGATATCTATGTCACTCTTAAACTTATCCTAATTACAAACAAATTTTTTAAATCACATTTGAAATTATATTTAAATATTTAACCATTGTCCAATCACTTCAGACGACATCTTGTTTACCGGAGGTAGTAGAAAAAAGGGACAAGCGAGGTACATAGCTTTTTTCTTAAAGCATCATCATTTGGAGCTACTGAAATGTTTCCAGGAAGCTTTTTTCCCAAGCTGAGGAAGGTCAGATCTCTTACAGTAAACAGTTGTGATTGACTAGACCTTTGGCTTTTTTGTGTTATTAATACTTCCTGTAACTTGCTGCAAATGTTTGTTTGTTTTCTTGTTTCTTATGAATAAATTGTACTGAGTAAGACCTAATGTTTTAGAGTCTGCACAATTTTTAGCTTTCTGATAAAATCCCTAGGTTTCCACCAGTAGATATATTCCTTGGTCACACTGCCTACCCCTTCTAAACACAAATCACCTCTAAAAAGTCATCAGACTGCTACATTTCTCTAGAGGTGGCTGGAACTTTTTTCTGTGTCATTCCTCATTAAAAAAAAAAATTTGTATTCAGACATAGCATTCAAGATACTTGAGCCAGAAACTGTGGACCACAGATGTATATTGCATCTATCTGCATAAGTATATGGCATCTATCTGCATAAAAGCAGAGCAAGTGTAGGTCCTGCTCACCAGCCTGACCTCCTCCCACGAAGGGCACAGGTTCATAAAACAGCTGAGTAAAATCAACAGCAAACATTTTGGTACAGAGGGAGCAGTTTACTTGATAGTCTGAATTGTTATATTTACAGCAGAAAAGGATCTCCTTACAAATCATCCAACTGGATGTATTAATGGCCATCAGAAAGCAAGCTCTGATAGTGGTTGTTCAATGCAGAAAATTAAATATGATATTTACCCCATTGTTTACCCAGGTCCAGTGTCCAAGACAAGAATCTGTGAGACACACAATACCTGTCACCACCACTCCCTACATTGCTGCATCCACTGGTAAGGAGCAACACACCTTTGAAAAGTCATTTTTATGAGAATACAAAGCATGTTGTTACTGAACCAATCAACACTGCACTAATGTATGGTATTTTCCATCTGAGATACACACTCAATACTAGCTGATGGCCAAGGGGTACTGGAACTCATAATTGTTTTTTCCCCTTGCAGCAGTTCCTCATCACACAGTAGTAAACTCAGGGTTATCTCAAGAACACAAAATGCAACTACACATATCAAACAGCCCCTGTTTTCTCTCACTTTTGAAAGAACATTACAATGTTAGTACTTTTAAATTTCCTAGTATCAAAAGTAACTTGCATGCAGCAGGAAAACATTGTCTGTTCAAGGAGTAAATACTTCCCTCGATAGAATACAGCAACACTTCATTGAAAGTCATTGTTTGCTGAAATGAAAGACCAGTTTTGCAATCTTTAATGGTGGCAGATCACAGAAGTTTAAACTGAAAAGCACCTGGGATCTTTCAGAAAGCAACAAAAGTCACCATAGGTGTAGTAAATTCTCTTGGCATTTGAGCACTTTTCCCAGAAAAATTAAATCTCATGCCAATCTACACCATTACTCAGTGGAGTGCTGTGTTACCAGTAGCATCCTGGAGCAGTGTACTGGCAGACAAGGCACATCTGAAAGGTCCCAACATCTTGTCCTAAAGAATCAGCATGGCTACAGAACTGGTACGCATTGCTATTCCTGAAATTGTTCATAACATATCAGACTAAAATAATAAAAACACTTGTATACAGATAGCTGAAAATAAATACACAAGGTGAACACTGTCTCAAGCATAAGATCTACAAGACCTTGAACCTTGCTCTCCATCTTTGTTTCCAGGTAACACACTACAGATATTTGCATAATGCCCATGATGAGCAACAGCTACTGATGGTTCCTTTGCCTCAGCATGTTGATTCAGCTCAGGCAAGGGCCTTGTTTTAGGGCAACATGCTTCCTTATATAGCCTGCCATTGCTTAAGATCCCAATTAGATTAAAATATTCTCCCACCCTGTGGATTTCCTCAGTCATTAGTCAGAAATGAGATTCACTTTCTTCCCACCAGAACACTTATTGCCCCTGCCTGCTCTGGAGGCACTAATTATTGCCAGCAGTAAATAGGCAGCTCATGACTGCTCACATCATTAGCCAACCTCTAAAGAGACCACCAGCACACTGCTAAGCAGACTGTCCTTTAATCCCTGCCTGGGCAATACTCAGGTCCTGATGTGAAGCCACCCCACTGGGTTTTTTTTATAATCTCATATTCCATAAACACATAACTTGCTAATCACACCACACAGCACATTGCTGGCTCTCCTGTGAGATGAAGTGCAATAACAACCCAATCACTTTCAGTGGTAACAGATCCTTGGGTGACTGTATCCTGAGCTGCCTCTGCAGGCTATCACATCACTGAGCAAGACAAACATGCTAGCAGATATTTGGATAAAAATACTTTCATTCGAAAAAAATACTTTCATTCAAAACACTGAACTCCCTCAGCTCCACTTCTACTTGCATTTTCTAAGCATAGGTCATCAGAACTTGATCTTGTTTGCCTCAGACCACCAACTACCCTGGGCAGCGCATGCAACAGCCAAGTGTACAAACACTCGTCATAAGGATTATTTTTAACAACTTTGGATCTCTTTTGTTATGCAAAAATACCATAACTCTCAAGATACAGTTTGATATCTTTAATGAGGCTTTGCAATTTACATTCAATACGTATTAGTACACAAAATATAAGAAATCACATATACATATAAACTTTAGTTTGTTTGTTTTACAAGTCAACCAGTATGAACTACACAAGCTACATTTATTCACATAACAAAATGGAACATTGTCGAGCTTCATTCACTGATCAAATATTTCAACAATTTATGGACCAACATATTTTGCAGCTGCTAAAACAACAATCTTCCATAGAGAACAAATAATTTATGTCAACAGATACACTGGCATCACATTCTCTGAAATGAAAGAGCCAAACTGAGCACTGACTGAATGCTTCCAGATTTCAGCAGAACTCACGTGAAGCAATAGTGCAGAACTTATACCAGCAACAAATCTGTCCACAGTTTATCAGCTCTGTGATTGAGAAAATAAATCACATACAGAAATCCTGTTGGGTAAATGAAGCCATTTCATTTCATTACAGGGTTATTTAACCCACTTATTTTTCAACCTTTTTAAAACAAAAAGGAAATAGCTTTTTTTATAAACAAAAAAAAAGTAAAATTGAATTATTTAAACCTTTTGGGTTTTTTTGTTTTCTGACTTAAACTATTCTCACATACAACATGAATGTGTACTTTGTGAATAGTTTTGGTCCCTCAGACTGTCTTCTCGGTAAATCCATTTTTAACTACTATGTTCAAATATGTCAACACTTCACTATTGTAGTTATTTTAAGTTAAATATGTAAAAATAACACAGACCTTTCTGTCTTAAAACAATCCCTCTCATTTTTGCTTCTAAACAGCATACAGTCACAAAAACCAAAGCTTCTTTTAGCAGCATGAAAGGTGAAGGGCCTTCTGTGTGAAGTCCTGGAAATTTTCTGGTGCCTTCAAATATACTGAAGGCACCTCAGCAATTCAGACACAGACCCTGCAAAAACCACAAACAAAACCACACTCCCAAGGCAGTTCCCTGCAGAGGTGCTCATTTGGTCATGCATATTTTCACCAGGCATGTGTGACTCTCTACAAACGAAGCAGCTGTACCATATGAGCATTTCAGTCTAAGCACTGGGGAACATTTCCAGAATCATTCTTCAGTTTGCGGAGGAGGGGAAAAACCTCCTATTTTTACAGACTAACCACTCCTATATGCCTATTAGTTTCAACAAAATTTGTTGAAAGGACTAAAAACTCGCCAATAAATCTGAAAACATAACTGTAAGCAAGCTGAGCTGATCTGCTTCTGCGTTCCCACAGAAAACCTCAGGTTTTTTCAGTAATTTGAAAGGAATGCTTACACTGATGAAGTGTGCAGCCCTCCCAAAAATTCATGGAACAGTAAATAATTAAGAGGTCACATCAATGAACCAAGCAAAGTGGATCATTTAATAAAATGGGCACAAGCAAAATGTTTTTTATACATACAGCTGGAAATTCAATGCTTAGAAGCAAAGAATACCACTATGAAAATGATGTTGGACTTTATCGTAGAGAGCATCCTACAGAGGATTTGGGGTTATGGCTGGTCTACCCTTTTTAAAAATCACCTTGGAGATCACTTTTGCACTTACATCTGTTATTAAGAAGCATGCTAAGGTTAAGGTTTGGCAGGGAGCATTACAAGGAACCCTGTTTACTTTCGACCATGGAAGGGAGAAATACGGATGACTTATCATTCCACTACCAGTTTTGGAAGGGATGTATTCTAACGGGAATTAAAACATTCAAGGGCATCTTTTGGAGTAGCAATATCAAACTGATAAGCAACAAGAGCAAACCACTCCAATTTAAAACAAATGCCAACCACTAAGCCTTGGAATTCATTTAAGGTACTGTCCATGTCTGAGCGTTGCCTCCATTGTCTCTTCATAGACTGTGCTGTCCCATAGAGCTGAGCGGCTGTAGGTTGATCTGTTTGGAACTTACTGGTGACTCAGATATTGCTGCAACCTTCAAAGAATTCTTGATGGAGCTGAGTTCCCACATGTGTAAGTTTATGATGTGCACACCACAACATCCCCTTGTGATCTTGTACAGGTTTTTAAGTACAGCCTTCCGGAGAAGAATGTACACCCAGGGATCTAAAATTTGATTCCACGTGGCCATTCGGAGAGCAAAAAGTATCGTTTCACAGGTCTCCTTTGAATGACTCCCATTAATCCCAATTCTGGCCATTGTCACCTGAAAATGGAATATTTTAAAATTATGCATCAAAAAATACACCAAGAGAGCATGTAAACGCATAAAAACATTTCAACATTGTCTCCAAGCTTCACACCTTCACATCATAAATGTATCCCAATTGCAAGGTAAATACTTTCAGGCATGTAAGATTTATCATCCTAGAAACTCTCTAATGTTTTACACAGGACATATATGAGTCTCTGATGAATTACTTCTGCTGAGCTTTGAGCGAGAAAAGACCCTCCAAAACCATGAACTGATTTGAGCAAGAAAACTTAATCCACAATTTGAGCTAACAAAGCATGCCAAGACTGTTCCAGGGATGGATTTTTGCAAGGACAGAGGCCACTGGTAGATTAGAACATTTTTATGAAACGAGGATTTTTTCACATTTTCCTAATTAAAGGCTGCATAAAGAATACAACACCTTGATTTCAGCAAGAAGAGTCATGTGTTTTAAGTTGCAACAGACAATTTATTGACACCAGAGGATTTAGAGGTTTATAGGAAATTTAAGCCCTGGTGACAAAGGCCACCAATACCCCTCTTCTTGTCAGTGGAGAGACAGAGGGTCTCATTCACCTCTGGAGGTACTGCACATGGACAGACCTCCACCAGCAATAACATTACCAGAGCCAATAGTTTCACATGGTGAAGACATTAGTCTTCCAGAACAGCTCAGCAGGTCTGTATCTGGCAGAGGATACACAAGAGCTACCCCAGCCCAGCTGGCCTCCCCACTTTACAGAGCAATGACCTAGGCTGTGAGACACCAGCCCTAGTGAAACTCAGGCCACTGAGGATCCTGCCCTGCAGAGACCTCCTTTACAGGCTGTCTGCCACTGGAGGTTTGTAACCTGAGTTCCTGTGTGAAGAAAGCCTGATCTACAAAGCCAGGAATCTGCCAGAAGATGGTAAATTATCTCTCTCTGTTATTAATGTTAAAAGCACATGAAGACTTTTTTGGTAGAAAGATGAAACACTGTAAAGCTTTCAGTTCCAAAGCCTTTAAAGTGATACATATTTAACTAAGAAACGAGATATTTTACAGCTGATGCTATGAGTACACCAATTTATTGGGCAATGAGAGGTAGGGTCAGTTCATCTGAGAGCAGAAAGTTGCATTTTCAAAAAGATACATTAAAAAAAATGAACAAAACCCCCCTAAAAGATAGTAATGAAGAGAAAAAATTAAAGTTCAATATTCCAGGAAACCTATTTTACTCCTTTATAAAAGCTTGTCCATATTCCTAGACCCTACCTATAGCTTGCAGGTCACCACACCTGAGTATAAACTTGAGTGGAACAAAGTGAATGCATGAAAGGACACTGAATTTGCTTGATTAAGCCTTTAATCAAGCATTTCTGTACGGCATCTATGGGAGCAGCAAAGAGAGCCCCTTGGAACATTGCTAAGGAAGCTGGTAGGACTGGCAGAAGTACAGCTGGGAACTGGTGTAAGGGGGAGGAGGAATGTCTGAGCACCAAGCCAACACAAACACAAACCAGTTCCCTGAATCTGCTTTACACCCCACAGCCATTGGGCACATTGCTCTCTGACATCAGCAGCCCACCCAAACTTGAACTACTCCTTTGGCTTCTGCATGGGATGTTTTTTCAGGACAGTTTACATATTAGAGGTCCAATACCACAAGCCAAACTCAGACAGAATATTCCTTACTCATGCAAGCAGGACTGGGCAGCAAATGACAGTTCGACAGAGCTCATAGACCACCTAACTTATCCTATACAGCACATGCTTGGCTTAATACAGACATACAGCTTCCTAATATGCCTCTTGATGTACTTGAAAACTATTTTGTTGTTCCTCTCTCACATTCTTTTGAGTTAATAAATGTCAAATCCAATGCAATTTCATACCCAGAAGAAGAAGCAGTAGGTGTTGCCATCAAGGAAAAGTAGCTTCATCCAGATTTTGTAAAACTGTATTATTTTCTCATGTGTTACCTAGCAAACTTTGAGGCTCCTTTCCATTTAGAAGTAATCACCTCTAAGTGAATCTATTCATTTGCTGTTCAACTTGCTTGGTCAACATAAAGTACCTCTAATTTGAGTATGGATTTACATAAAGTAAATCAGGACAACAAGGAAACTGATACATAATTTATGGATTATGACACTTGGGATAAGCTTCATCCAGAACATTTTAGTTACCTCTTCTGACACTGGACATACAAAACTAATACACCCGAACTCAGAGCAAGTAGAGCTTACGTACACAGACACATGCTTAAGTAACTGAGCTGTTAGTCCCTGTATATGAAAGAATAAAATAAAATCTAGATTATCTATAAATTTTGTTTCATAAAATAAGAATTTTCTAGCCACATTACTTACATTATTTGGGAGCGTTATGTAGAAATTTTAAAAAATTCCTTTCCTGTACCACTAAAACTAACATAAAATTATATCCCAGCTTTTTGAAGATCTGAAAGGCTGAGATTTCCATATAGATATGGACTAAAACAGAAAATCTCATTCCAGCCACAAGGCATAAGCATTTTTATCCTAAAACACTTGTGGCAGAGCAGTGGGACATGTTACCATCACATTAGTCTCTGAGTATGAAGTGAGACAGCTTCTCACTCCTCCAAAGAGACTGCACTGTTCTGGGGGCTCTTTCACATCTTCTGAGAAAATACATAAGAAAACTGTAAGCAACTGAAATCAACTGTACCAACTGTGTCCTGGAGCCTTTCTAAAAACATCTGCTGGTTTCTAGAACAAGACTCAAAACTCCAGCTGAAGAAGGGAGTCAATACAGATTATTATTTCTATCACATTTTCATAGTCAATTGGTTTATTTAAATATAAATTCTTAAAATATTGTTCCACAGTCTGTTTGAAACCATAAATTATAAAAAGAACTAATATGCTAACAGCTGTTTAATAAAGGATTTCATTGAGGCACAACATGCTGACAGTCTGTATTTGCTCCGTGGGTGCGAGAAACTCGTGTCACTGAACGGGCACAAGCCACCAGTTGAGAAACTGCAAGCAGAGCTTGCTGCAGTGCTAAGGGGACCTCTGAGAGAGGGACTGCCTCTGCAAGCACAGAAAGGACACTTCTTGGCTTATTATTTGACTAATAGTGGTCAATAATTAGTTCAAAGCCAGGAAACCAATTCAAAGACTTTTTTTCCTTCCCTATAGATCTGTCAGGTTAATATGACAAAGGAATTCTGTTCTCTGCAGCCAGCAGTAAACAAGTGGGGAAGTGGGAAGAGGCAATGCAATGGCATCTTACCTAATCACCTATGATGTCCACAACTGAAGTTAATATTCATGCAGATTCAGCAGTATGACTCAAAAAATTAAGCGCCAGATGGTAAATAATAAATGTAACTCATGACATTTTCTACCATGTTCAGAAATGTAAGAATCCAAGTAGCACTTTGCTGACTTATGCAATGTTTATATGAACACAGCTGTAGTATGTCTTCCCGGGTTGCAAAAAAAATTGAATGCATTGCATGATGTAACCAAGACAATTCAAAGTTTCTTTAGAAAAGTACTATAAAAGCATAACTGCAAAAGCAGGGTACCTGCTTTTAAAATATAAAGTTACTCTGACTCATATTAGTTCTTGCTGGTTTAAGGAAAGACCTGAGTATTACCAGTCCCTAAAAATAAAGGGAAATCAAGTTTGTGTCAAGCACGGACTTGAAATTTCTCCATACTTTCTGTCCAATTTTAAACTTTATTAAAATCAAAGCTCATTTTTCATGATCCAGAAAGTCTGATGGAAAAGTTTTAGAAATATTTTGAAATTGTTGATGTCTTCACTTTTGCATCTAGCAGGTAGCATCAGAGAATTGCCATTTCCCCTAGGGACAAAGTTCAGTGCAAACTGAAAAAAATTGCTCCAAAGCTTCACACCACTCTCCAAACATAAATAGCATGAATTTAATTTCCTTTGCAATCAGATCTACATGAGAACAACTAACAGGCTAAATGGCTGTGCTGCTTAGTCACATTCCTCTTAGTACTCAAGGACAGACAGTCCAAACAAGAAGCAGACTGCAGCTAGTTAGGAAATAAGACAAAAATGCTACTTTGATGCATTTCAGCACATAGGCTCTAAATCCAGGTTCTATCCTTGACTTCAGGAAACTGAATAAAAACCAGTCACCAAGAGATTGACATGGAAAGCAGTGCAGACAAATATCGGAAATTCTCATCTTCTGCAACTCAGCCTTCAGGCTCCACTTCCCTATGGGAACCCTACAGACCCTCCCAAACCTTTTCCTCTTCCTTTGGATTTCCTTACAATCAGTTCTGAGAATTTCCATTACTGGAAGAAAGTCCATAGATTTTTTTGCTATTTGCAGAGTACATATATTTTGTCACTAATGCCTGTGTTGAACACAGAGATGCAAATCCCCTTCTAAACCACACAGGACTCAAGGTAGAACTTTGCTCATTATGTCCCTCTTATTTCAAATTTCCAGAAGTTTTTTGAACTTTCATTATTCATATGTGCTACAAAAGAAGCTGCAGACACCTATAGGCAAGAGATCATACAAGATGATACGTAGTACTCTATAAGCACAACCTTTAAGAAAAAAAGATTTGCAAAATAGGGGAAGAAAGAAATAAAATGTATCTATCTACACATTTTATATCTCCTAGGACCAGCTATTAGAAAAGAAAAAGTGACAAGGAATTGCCTGTATCATTGTTATAGAGATCTCGTAGCATACAAACCAAGCATTTGTTGCAACAGAGTATGCTTCATTTTATTTTTATGTGATTCTATGTCAGTTTAAAAACAAAGGCTTCCAAGAACAATATGCAGTGCACCACTTCTGCCATCAAAATGTTGGTACACACACTGTTCTACTTGTGCCACATAATGCTTTTTATGTTCTAGATCTGCAACATGGTTTTCCCCAAATGTTTTCCTTTCCCTGTCTAAATGAAAAACATGAACCATATCTTCAGCTTTTATATACCAGATGATCATTTGGCCTAGC